TTTTTTTTTTTTTTGTTTTTTTCTGGTACTGGGAATCGAACTCACAAGCGCTGTGCCACTGAGCTAAATCCCCAGCCCCCAGGTTTTTTTTTTTGAGACAGAGTCTCGCTATGTAGTTTAGGCACTCCTCTACCTCAGCCTTGAGAGTGCTGGAATTACAAGGCTGAGATTTTTTAGGAATTTATAAATTTATTCAGTTGGGTATGGTAACACATGCTCATTAATTGCAGCTACCTGGGAGGCTGAGGCAGGGTTGCAAGTTCAAGCCTAGCCTGAGCAGTTTAGTAAGACTTTGTCTCAGGCAAAAAAAGTTTTTTTGTTTTTATCTTTTAAACAATTTAATTAAAATTTATTTATTTATTTTTAAATAAAAACTTAAAAAGGGTTGGGGATATGGCTCACTTGGAAAGTACTTGCTTAGTATGTGCAAGGCTCCGGGTTTGAGTCCCGGTACAGTGATACCCGGTTCACAAACTTGATTCTTTTTTTTGGGGGGCGGCGGGGGGTTCCAGGACCGGGAATCGAACTCATGACCTTGTGCTTGCCAAGCAGGCGCTGTGCCACCGAGCTAAATCCCCAGCCCCACAAACTTGATTCTTTCCATAATTCTGGTCACAAACCCAGTTGGATAAGACCTAAATCAAAGGTTAGGTTCAGTGCTGACTTTAAGGGGAAATTTGATTTTGTCCTCCATCCAGTTCAGTTTGCTACCAGAATCACAGAGAGAACTGAGTTCGTGAACCGAGGTACCACTTCCAACCAAAAACCCCTTCAAACCAAGAAACAAACGAAACTTTAAAAGTTCTCAAATAGTAAACCTTCAAAGAAAAGGAAAATATTTTTTTTTTCCTAGTACCGGAAATCAAACTCATGACCTTGCGCTTGCCAGGCAGGCACTGTGCTGCTGAGCTAAATCCCCAGTCCCTGAGAATCTGTCTTATTAGATACTGACATCTAGTACTGACAACACGACAGTAATAAAAACACTGTAGAATTTGCAGGAGAGCAGACAACCGATCAACAGGATATGTGGAGAATATAGAGACAAACCTATCTGCACACGGAAGCTTAGCATATGGTAAAAGCTTAGCATACAGCACAAAGTCAGGGTGGGAAGGACACAGTGTTTAGTGAAGGAAGTAAAGCCTGGAGGAAAATAAAGCTGTTCTTAACTTAATTTCACAAGTGAAGACAGTTTGCACACGAATTAGAGATCTATTATGTGAAGGACAAAATTACAAAATTAATGCAAAAATACAGATGATCTCTGTGACTTAGGAGCAAGAATGGCTTCTTTTCCTACTGGGGATTGAACCTAGGGCTTCACAGGGAGCTACATTCCCAGTCCTTTATTTCTGAGACAGGATTTGCTAAGTCATTTGGGCTGAATTGGAGATCCTCCCACCCCAGCCTCCAGGTGTGCTGGGATTACATCATGGCCAGCTATGAATGGATTTCTTAAATAGATCTTCATATAGAAAAACACTTGATCAATCTGATCATACATCATATCTATGAATTTCTGTTTAACAAAGACCCATACAGTAAGTTAAGAGACTTGAGGACTGAAACTTACAAAATATTATAAATCATACAATGAAATCTTACCAACTAAGGAAGACAAAGACTGAAAATGACAAGGAAGAACAAGCCAAGGATATGTACGTACAGTTCCTAAAGGACAAAATGTGGTTATCACTGATAACCACAGCAATGAAAATAAAGCAATGCACTTCACACTATAAAACTGGCCAAAAAAATCCTCAAAAAACAAAAACCAGTATCAACAAAGTAAAAAGCAGTGAAATGGTCATGATAGAAAAAGCAGAAATGCAGATTTAGGACGGTGGATGCATGCTGCAGGAGGACAGCCAGGTGCAGCTCTCCTGGGAACAATCTTGTCGCACTCAGTCACACTGTCTATCACCCCACGGGAGCTAGGGACAGGCCGCTCCCTGCAGGGTAACTAGAGGCGGTAGGAAGTCGAGGGCAGTCTGGGTGACTGCCATGTAGTAGACAAATGCATAGGAAGGAGGTAAGCGCTACGGGCAGATATAGGTGGGAGACGGAGCAGTTGAAGGTAACAAAGAGCTGGGCGTGGTGGCACACGCCTGTAATCCCAGCACTCGGGAAAGTGAGCTCAAGGTCAGCCTGAACTGCACAGCGAGACCCTGTCTCAAAAAAGACAAGAAAAAGAAAGAAAGTAATAAAGAAGACCTATCCATAGCTATGCCATTTACATTTACACAAATGAAGAACACATGCACATGAAACAGTACTACCCATTTTAAGGTAAGGTCTGTATTAACCACATTCAAATGGTTTCCTACAGGGGGGAGACCAATGGGAATAAACAGCTAAGTAAGTAAGAGAACGACTTTATGTGGAAGAATGATGGTAATGCAAGAGTGAAGAAAATAACTATCTCTACTCCCTACAAGATCTTTCAGCCAGGTCACCACCCAGGCCTAGGAAACCCTGAGTCAGGTCAGTACCCGAGCCTCCAGGACGCTGATGGCCTCGGCCTGGCTGCTTCTGGCTGCCAACAGTCGCTGTCTGGTATCCTCCAAATTCTGTTCAGCTGCTGCTTTCTGTAAGGTGAAAATGAGCAAAGGAAAAGAGTCATGTCTCTGTTGAATAACTACTACTGATGCCTGCAACACCATGGCTTCTGCTATGTACAGGGGACAAAAAAAAAAAAAAACCCCACAGAAAATGAAGATGTAATTCACAGAGCGAAACCACGCACAGATACATTTGGTACGGTTCTCTGTCCCTGAGTTTGGGTCAAATGGCTAATAATGCAGTAAGTGGCTGCAGTAGTGATACACAGAGCGGGAGACAGGGCCACTGCAAGGGGGAGTTTCCTAAATCAGAGGCAGCCAGGGGCCCGGGGAGGCAGGAGGCGACCTGCTGGGAAGAGAAGAGCTCGCTGCCTGCAGGCAACTACCACTCCTAAAGCCTAGGTGATGAGAAATGGGGTTACAAAGTTGGGTAAAAGAGCCAGATAATAAAGGGCTTTATAATGCTGCGGGAAAACAGCCTGAATGTTACTCTGTAGGCAACATTTTTCAAAGTGGTGTCTTCCAAACTTTGGCATTAGATTTACCTGGGGTAGTTGTTCAACTTGAGACCTTACTCCAGGCTTGCTGAAATCAAGATTTCAAGGGCTGGGCTGAAGACATGTGCTTCAAACAAATTTCCGAGGGACTCCTGTGCACTCTGTAAACTTACTGTAGTAACCATGGTGCCACAATAATAATAATGGCTGACACTGAGGCCCTACTCTGCTCCAATCATCCTTTTTTCCTTTCTTTCAGTAGGGTAGATTGGCACCAGGGCCTTCACACTTAGCTCCATTCCCAGCCCTTTTTCATTTTGAGACATTGAATGGAGACAGAAAGTGAGGGTGTACCATGAAATAAGCCTAAGGCCTACTTGGTCACCTGTGTCATGCTGAGGCCAGTCACTGGGACGGGAAGAGATGGGAGAACGGGGCAGAGATCAGCACCAGACCTGATGAGGAATTCAGCTACACCACTGGGCAAGAGGCCAACTGCCAAAAGGCCCTCTGATGCGCAGCGTTGTTCTCCAAGCTCATCTTGCTTGTGCCAAAGAGAGATGGCAATGATTTTCCTTGCCCAAAAGAGCATGGACCAGGGTGGGCAGGAAGCAGTGCAGGAAGACAGAGTAACCATGTCAATCATCAGGGGATCTGGTGCAACCCATTCACACACACTTCCGAAGAGAGCTCTCCCCTTTCCTGAGGAGTGCACAGGCACACAGCCTGTTCTGATGCAAGCAGCACAATCCAGAGATGGAGAAACCAGGGTGGACATGCACACCTGCTGTCCTAGCTACTCAGAAGGCTGAGGCAGAAGAACTGGTTGAGCCCAGTTCAGAACTGGCTTAGGAAACACAGTGAGACCCCATATCCAAAAAAAACAAACCACCCACAAATGCCAAAGTTGGACAGAGCAGTCTTCTCAGTAAGCTGTTTGCTGACCTGCAGCTCTGAAATTCTGGGACAGATGAAGTCACCACTGCCTTTCCCACACCAGCCAGCACAAGCAGAGTGAAATTACCTCCTTCAGGAGTTCCTGCACGTATTCTTCTCCCGATAAGTTCTGTTCCAGTCTCTTCTCCAGGGATGCAACCTTCTCTTGCAAATGTGCGATGAGTTTTTCTTTCTCTTGAGTTTCAGCAGTGACCTGCCGGGGAAAGCCGGGAGCCGATTATACTGTGAGCCCTCTCCTTTCCTTCCTGTCTCCTCTGGGACCTCCCCAAAATTCTGTGCTCAACTGCACCCTAGAAAAACACTGAAGAGGGAAATCTTCCTTGAGAAGAGGATACAGAAGATGCGAGATTAGAACCTAGGAACACTCAGAAATCCAGAAGCAAGCATTCTTCCTAATTTAAGCAGCTGGTGGTGGGGAAGGAACAAAATCACGACCTCCCCGCAGTGGCGGTAGAGCCAGTCCTACCAGAGAAGCTCCTGGTTTGCTGACCTAGAAACTCTAGAGACTGAACGAGACAGTGATGATGCCATTGTAGCTGCTTTAAGGCCAGCAAGAGAACTTAGGAAACAAACAACGGATTCACAAGGCTTAAGGCACAGGGACTGCACCACAGCGGTGTGCATCTCAGTCTTGGCCCCAGCCCAACCATCTCTACTGCATTCTCTCTTTAAATGATCGCAGGGGTGGTGGCAGCAGGATAGACTTTATTCCTTTCAATATGACCAATCCTCAAATACTACTCAATGTCAAAGCACAGAATCCAAGGTGCTTTGAATATATAAGCTCTCAGATCCCTAGTGGGGATCCTGCACCCACCGGATACGCTCACTCTCCTCCCCACACGTTGCGGCACGGCACCCGCCTCCCGCGGAGAAGGGTACCCCCCACTCTGCTCCCTCCAATCCCCTCCACGCAGGCTTCTGTAGTCTGCGCAAGCACAGACTCACGCTCAGCTTGCAGCCCAGCCAGTCTCTCCTCAGAATAGGATGGAACAACCTGGGCCCAGGGCTTGGGGAAGAACCACTTGCCATTCTCCACTGTCACAGGGTGACAGCCAAGGTAGCTGGCGAGAGGAAGTGTCCAGAGTTGACTCACAACCCCACAAATGGATAAACTTTTATGAGGCCTAAACTCTGGCATCTCTTGTATGCTGGGCGTACAAAGGTCCTGGGCCACAGAACCAGGGCGGCTGCTGGTGGAGACAGATATACACACAACTGACCACGAAACAACGCAACCATGCGGCACCAGGGGGACACGCAAGGTGCTGTGACATGTCAGAGACAGGCAGGATCCAGTGTTCGGAAGAAATGGACTGGTCCAGTGGAGGGTGGTGTGAGAGTCAAGGTGCAAAAGGGTAGCAGACAAGTTCACTGAGCGCAGGAGGTCGGGTGAGGAGGCCAGCAGAGCTGTCTGTGGCGCAGCTCAGTGGCACTACTGTGCCGAGGTTAACTGACAGGAAGGAAAACAAACTGCTATGGCTGTACTCGGCCCTCTCAGAGGTTTCTTAATAATATTAACGAGAGCCCTAGTCCTAAGTGCAAGAGCGTGGTTCAGGAGCAGCAGCGGCTACAACCTGGAGAACACGGGCAAGCTCTTCCAGCTGCCTCTGGTCCTCACAACCACTCTCCACCTTGTCCATCTGCAGGGAACTGGTGCCTGGGGACGACCAAAGACACACGCCCCTCGGAGATGGACTAGGGGCCAACGCCAGTCTTCTGGACCCAAAGCCCGTGCTTGCTGCACACAGTCATCTGCACTTGAGAGAAGCGGGTGACTCCTTCCAGTGAAAACCGCAACAACAAATACACCTTATGCAAGTCACTTCATTGAGCAAAGGTCCTTAAGGAGCGCACATCTCCTGGTCTCTCTGGGCCCTCAGCGCCTGCCGTGCACTACTGCACGCTGCACTTCCTGCTGCCAAACCTGCCCCTGTGCTGAGGATCACCTTCCTCACCTATTTCCCAGCCAAGGCTGAGCCCCACAGCGACAGTCCTGGAATACAGACGCAGCACGACTGGGGCTGGGCAGTGGGTCTGACAGACACGAGTCTGAACCCTGGCTCTGTCAGCTACTCCAGCTGTGTGACCATGCACAAACCATTCAGCCCCTCAGAGGCTCCTTCTATCACCTGTGAGATGGCAAAACAGTAAGTGACTGAAACGCAGTTGTGAGGATTTGACGTGGCCTTCTCAGCAAAGTGCCTGAATACGATGCACTGAGTAGCTGTTCAATAAACAGCAGCTATTCTGAACATGAAATTTTTAAAAAGCTATTCTTTAACAAGAGGTCAGTTCATTAATGAATAACTATGGAATTTCACTATTTATACTATACTAACTGGTCCCTGCACACACTTCTGGCCTCATCTAGCATGGTTTCCACACGTCCTCCCTGAGCTCCAACTACCTGGCTATCCTAGTTCTTCCAACATCCCTTCCCCGCTTCACTGTATATATATTTAAGTTAAGAAGGATGAATTCCCCTGGGCAACCCACTCAGGCTCCCTTCTGTCCCTCTCTCGGACAGAAGCTTTCTTTCCCTCAATAAATATATTCTGCTCTTAAAAGATGAATTCCACTAAAATATTATATTAAATATAGGGCCAGGGATATAGCTCAGTGGCACAAGCACCTGCCTGGCAAGCACAAGGTTGTTAGTTCGATATCTGGTACCAAAAAACCCCAAATATATTAAGTATAATACAAGTTGGAAAAAGGATAAATTGGAAGACAATGGCTCAGCTGAGGAAATGCCATCTAATAATGGCAAAACTTTGCAATGTTGAGTTGCGGGTGGTGGTGCATACTCTGGCAGGATGAGGCAGAAGGATTGCTCGATGTTAAGCTGAGCCTGGGCAAGTTAGCAAGACTCTGTCTCAAAACATCAAGAATTAAAAAGGGGGTGAAAATATAGCTCAGCGCAAAGGTCTGAGTTCAGTCCCCAGTATCTCTCTCTCCTTCTGTCTCTGTCTCTCTCTCTCATGCACACAAGCAAAGTAACACTGGATCTCATGGATTGAACACAACAATGGAGAGAATTAAAAGTACAATTTTGTCTCCCAACTGACAGACATCTGGCAAAAATGAATAAGAAAAATAGTAGAAAATAAACTGGCCATAGAGGGGTACGCCTCTAATTCTAGCTATTCAGGAGACTGAGGCAGGAGGATCACAAATTTGATCCCAGCTTAGACAACTTAGCAAGATCTTGTTTCAAAATAAACACTTAAAAAGAGAATGTAAGAAATATAATTTAAAAAACTGAAAGCAAATGTAAATTATTGTATGTAAAAAAAAAAGTTAACAAAACTGAAGAAAAAATAGAAAATTATAGTAATTCTCTTGCAATAAAGAGATAACAATAATTTAAAAATCTTCACATAAAGACATTTTCTATGGAAAATCCTAAGAAACATTTGAGAACCTCAAAATTACAACCATATACAAACTATTTAACAGCACAGAAAAGAAGGGAAAATTCCCTATCCTTCTATGGGGCTAACAAAATCATGATACCAAAATAAAACAAGGAAGCAATTAAAAGAAAAGTTACTTGTGCATATAAAAGGAAAAATTCTGAACAATATATGCAAACCAAATTTAATAATCTATAGAGACGTAACACGTGATCAAGTTGGATTTTTTCAAAGAATATAAAATTGGCTTCACATTAACAAAAATTAAGGCAATTCACTAGGTAATGAAGTTTCAAAAAGTAAAATATCTCAAAAGATACAAAGCCTTCCACATCCATAAACTGCAACATCCATATATGATAAAACATACAGACTTCAACAATAGACTTCAACATCCATTTATGATAAAAGGCAGGAGGATCACCAGGAGTTCAAGACCAGCCTGGGCTACACAGCAAGACCCTGTCTCAGGTGCGTATCTGTAATCCCAGCACTCAGGAGGCTGAGGTACGAGGATAACAAGTCAAATCCTGCCTGGGCAGTTCAGTGAGATTCTGCCTCAAAACTCAAAACAAAACAAAACAAAACAAAACAAAACACACCAAGAAAGCAAGCAAGCAAGGAAGGAAGGGTTGGGATGTACTTCAGTGCCAGAGGGTCCATAAGGGTTTAATTCCCACAAAAAATCCCACCAAAAATCAAATTCAGAACATTTAAAAATACATGTTAACGTAAATATAATATACCACATTAACATAAATGTCCTGTTTTTACAAAACATGATACTTTCCAATGCAAAAAGGTTATTTTGTTTTTTTTCAATACTGGGGATTGAAGGGTCTTTGACAGAACCGTGTCCCCAGCCACTTATTTGCTAAGTTGGTTAGTTTTGAAACACAGTTTTGCTAAGTCACAACTAGCCTGGGCTTGAACTTGCGATCCTCCTGCCTCACCCTTCCACAGTGCTACAATTACAAGTACACACCACCACACTAGTCTACAAAAAGCATTTAGTGATTAAGAGTGGCACTGTTTTCTCTCTTTGCCAATCTAACATCTTTCTTAATAGAAGACACTTGGATTCTCATACTTTCATCTACCGCAATATCACGAGTCAGGCAGCCTCCAGGAAATTACTCAGGAGAGAATGAGAGTGAAGACAGGCAAGCAAAGTCCGAGCATTATCAGAAAAACAGTTTTGATCTCACAAACCTCTGGAAGGGCCCATGCGCCATATTTGAAAGTCACCAAGGAAACTCTTTTGAGACCTTTGAGCAGGTAAACACTTAAATACATAGTACACAGAAATACACAGAAGGCAGGAATCAAAATAAAATTAGAAGACAGGCCTGATGGCACATGCCTGTAATCCCAGCACTAGGGAGGCTGAGGCAGGAGGACTGCTGTGAATTTGAGATCAGCTTGGGCTACAAACTGAGTTGAAGGCCAGTCTCAACTACAGAATGAGACCCTGTGTCAAAAAGACAAAAAAAAAAAACAAAACAACCTCCGCCAAAAAATTAGATTTCTGACTTCCTCAAATTAAGTATTTCTGGTTTTTAAAAGATACAATAAAGAAAATGAAAAGGCAAGCCAGAGTCATGGATGGGGAAATAGTAGCGATACATATATTGGATTAAAAATCTTGTATCCGTTACAATTTAATAATAATAAGACACCCAATAAAAATGAGCAAAAGACACTTTATAAAAGATACACAAGGCAAGTGCAAGGCCCTGAGTTCAATTCCTGGTACCAAAAATAAAGGCACTAG